AACCTCATGAATTTATACCAATACTTCCAGTTCCAATCTTATACCTAACTGTCTCCTTTCTGTATTTGTATCTCCTTTCTCTAGCAGTTAAAAAACCAATTCCCATTATTCTCAATGTCTAGACTTATTTGCTCACTCCCCCTGTATCCAGCCCCACGAGTCAAAGACACAACCCTGGGTACCTGCAGGGCATGGGCTGAAAGCCCAGCAAAGAGGAAGGAGGAAGGTGAAAGAATAAAGGAAAATAACTTAAAGTTGTTGAAAGTCTGAACTTTGGATAAATTCTTCTTAAATAATAGCAGACTTTTTTTTTTTTAATGAAAGAGAAGGGAGAAACATCACATGTATTTTTAGTTACCTTTGAAATTAGAAGGTTACTTTAGCATACCAAATGGGTATAAAAGAAAAACCAGTTTGATTCATGTGATCCATGTTATCTTCTTGGATTAAAATAATTTATATTTTTTCCCCCAGATGTTTCAGATTTAACACATTGGCTTTTTAATATAATAGCCGAATCTTTAAATGTTGATATGAAATCTTAACTTTGTAATTTTTAAAATTTGGATATGACATTTTGATTTGCAGTGTTTATAAGAGAACATTGGTCAATTTTATGAAGTACTTTGATTATATATTTTTTCTGGTGTGTTTTTCCATGTTAAAATATTAAGTTTGCATCTTAATTTTCTCTTTAAAATGTTCATTTAAACTTCAACTAAATTAAGCTATAGAATATACAAATTAATTTACAGTTAAAAATGATAATAGTGAATAGTCTTGCCTTCTGAAGTTTTAAATTCCTGTGAATAGCCTATAAGTTATAGCTTTAACAACAGTTGCTGCTTAATTTTTATGAACTGATTGTATGTCATAGCGTAAAATAATTGTTCTGATCACTGAGATGACTGACTGTAAAATAATGCAGGTGACCTTTTCCTTGAAGGTCTGTAAACATTACATGAGTGTGAGTTAATTCACATGATAAACATGCCAAAAATACAAAGCTATACATACAAAAATTTCCTTTTATTCTTCTTTACAAATTTTCCATTCACAGGATAATATATATTTTTTATTTTTACATAAATATTATATATAAATATATGATATATGATGTATGATATATTATATAAAATATAAATATATGCAAACATAATTAAATGTAATATAAACATATATTATATTCATATATATAAATATATGAATATATGACATATTATATATTTACACACACGTATATTTCTGCAGCAGCTGGCTTTATTCATTAATAAAAATATTGATTGGAGTTCCTTTTATGCCAGTACGTGCAGCTTATCTCAGGTGTAATTACTGCATAGTATTTTATTATATGGCTGGTGCCATAATTTAAACACTTCCCATTAATGGACATTAAGGTGTTTTTTCCTAAAATTTTGCTGTTATAAGCAGTGAATGCCGACATGAAAACACTTGTACATGCATCTTGAGGCACATATTGGGCAAGTCCTGGGAAATGCATGCCTACAGTCGAGGAGTGGACTTCTGTCTTCCTTGCGAGGCAGCCGGGCAGGTGGCGAGCCCCCAGCTCTGGGCTGTCCTGCTCCTTTGGAGATTTCTCTTTGTTCCAAAGTCCCTGGATTGTCTGACCTGGTAGCCTTACCCCACGTGCCCTTGCAGCTGCATTATTTCCTGAGGCTGGAAGTTCAGCTGTCCAGTCACGTGCCAGGGAGATGGCACCCAGATGTCATTTTCTCAGGGAAGTTTCAGTTGGGTGAAGTGAAAACTGTAATTTAGGATGATGTTGCAGGTACTTGACACAGTTAGTAGACTTTGGAGTCGTAACAAAGAATGGCATAGTTTTCATAAACTAAAAAATTGCAAGTAATTTAAACCATTTTTGAAACAGGAATCATAGGTTGGATACTTCTTATAAGGATATTTGGATATGGGCATGTTTTAAAAATACGTTATTAAATTTCTTTAACCTTTTTGAAAATTAAAAAAAAAATCCAAACCCAAATCTATTTAATAAAGGAGATAATTTCTAATCGGTCATCAGGTTTTTCTAATTTTATTCTTTAATATTCTCAAGTATTGCTGAATGGCTATTTCCAGTTCATTTCAAAAACAATTCAGTTTTATTTTATTTTCCATCCCTTGTTTATAACATTCATTTGTCATTTTTGTCATTTTGTAGACCTACCAAGAGCAGCTGTCAGGATCTTAAGCAACATGACATTCCTTTTTGTGAGTTTGTCATACACAGCTGAGAGTGCCATTGTAACTGCTTTCATTACCTTCATTCCCAAGTTCATCGAGTCACAGTTTGGTATTCCGGCTTCCAATGCCAGCATCTACACTGGTAAGGCACCGCCGTGAGAGCGCCTTCAAAACATGATAATCCTTGACCACTAAACTGAAATGCAATAAGTGAAGAGAACTAACATTCATTCTAACATCAAAGTGTTAAGTTCATTAACAGATACCTTCCCCCCAGATTTCGGGAGGAGGAAGGCTTTGAATTTTGTTTTTTAAATAATAATTGAGATTGTATTGCTGTGTGACTTTACCAACTGTGTTTTGGAAAGGGAGACCTTTGCATTGATTTATGTTTTTATTGTTCTGAGTTAGAAAGAATGAAATAGGCAATGGCATGTACATCTGCATAAATCTTTTTATGGGTTGGCATGAGTCTTAAAGTGTTAGGGTTTTGAACGCTGATAATTTGAAATATAGATCAGTTCTATGGTATCAGGATTTTTCTTTCATAAACGTTGACAGATTTTAATCGAATTACTGGAGATGCTTGAATTTAGAAAGAAAATCTATGAATTTTGCTTTAGAAATTATCTCATGTATAGGGAAAATGATTTTTTGTGAAATTTTTTGGAGACTTTGATACATGTACCTTAGTGCTCAACTCTCAGTAAATTGGGTGCTCAGAAATGTGGGAACATTACTTCTCAAATATTGGGGGAATTTCCAGTGTATTATATCATAGGATATTCTGGATATTTTCTTAGTGGTTTCAAAGATGGTCAAATGGTTCAATATATTAAGAAAAGTATATTTAAACAGTTAAGTGGATAATGGCTGTCCCTCCCACTCTCTTAATGTCCTCATCCAAATCCAGCAAGCATCGATTATCTGAAAATTAACAAGACACGTTATATTATTGTCGAAAGAAAACACTGACTTGGAATATTTGGGTAATCACTTTGTTCTCTCTTTCACTTTGCATATAAAGACATACATAAGTGGATTACAGGTCCATGTTAGGAATTTTTTTTTTATAAGGAGTACACTGATGTGGACCATTGTACTACTTGTGACATAAAAATACTATATTTTCTCTTGCTTTTCAAAAATGTTTTCCTTATTTTAAGGTAAAATGGACGGGTTACAGTTTGGTTGTCAGATAATCTTAACCTCCCATTTCTAGTCTGATTCTTACACTAACCTTTTGTTGAGCAACAGTTCTTCGATAGGGAAACCAAGAGTTGGCTTGTAGCTCCATTTGAAGCCACATCGCCGTTATGTGTAGCTTCAAGTATTTCCCAAATTTAGAAGTATTACTGGAGAGAAGGTTTAGAGCCAAATAAATGTGAAACTACATATAACAGCTATGTGGCTTTAAATCAAGCTACAAGCCAACTCTTGGTTTTCCGATCTGCTCTAGAACCTAGAGCACTACTGGGCTCAGATTGTCATCACACTGGGAGCAGCTGAGCTCTGGAGGGAGGTGGTGACACCAGGGTCTGATGAGGATGCCATCGAAACATCTTAACTGACCCCATTTGTTGTTGTTGTTTTAAAAAATATACTTTTATTGATTTCAAAGAGAAAGGGAGAGGGAAAGAGAAATAGAAACATCAGTGATGGGAATCATTGATTGGCTGCCTCCTGCACGCCTCCACTGGGGATTGAGCCCCCAACCCAGGCATGTGCCCTGACCAGGAATCAAACAGTGACCTCCTGGTTCCTAGATTGACGCTCAAACACTGAGCCACGCCGGCGGGGCCACCCCATTTGTTTTCATCTGTGCAGCAGTGGGTCTGCGTTCACCCTATACTCTTCCCTCTGTGGCCTTTCTGTGAAATTGTTTGGGCCCACCTTTATGATTGCAATGAAATATTATGAAGTTGATATTGGGAAAAGCCTGAAATTATGGGCAGAGCCCTGAAGGAGGAGTGGAAAAGTTTCACTAGGCTTTATGACTTAAATCAAACTTCGTATTAGTATAAGTTAGAGTGGTAATTCAAAGGCATTTTGTTAAATCCCACCAATTAAGAAAACTAATATGTTTAAGTGAAGTAGTAAGGAGGGGCTATTTTCATCTTGGTCGTAGGAGTAAAGCGACAGAAACTTCTGGGGCAGGAGACGGCCAGGGGGCATTGGGGAGAAGTGTTCATACCCCTGTGCATCACAAAGCTCTCCCTCGCTCTTTCTCTCAATTGCCCTAAACCTACTCACCAAATGACCAGCCTCCTGTGTGCCCAGTTAGCCAAGTGACTGTTATTTCTTTTGTGAGTCTTTCCCTTCATTTACCAGTTTTAAAAACTTATAGCAAATTTGTATAGTGACAAATACACTAAAAATATATATAATGATGAGCTCACAGCTATTTCTATGTGATGCGCTTTAATCTATTGCAGTCATCATTCTGTTTGATGCTCCAGTTGTCCAGCCTTTGGCCACTGGGAGCCCCTTCATGTTAGCACCTGTGTCCTTCCCACACCTCAGCAATCTGTGTGGTTTCCGGGGTGACAAAAGTGACTTGTTTATCGTGTTTCCAGACCTGGGGCCAGTCATGTTTCTCAGGGAGCCCTGGTTCCTTTGAGAGAAAATGAGATTTGGAGATCCCCAAGTTGGACACGGGGGTGCTCACTGCTACGAGGTAGTCATTGATTCTAGGACTTTTGTTAATAAAAAGAGTAAACAAGTCTTGAGGTTACATTGATATTTCTGCTTCAAATTTAAGATTATAGGTTGCTCTTTGCTCTAATGCTGAAAATCTTTTTTTTCCTAATGACTTTAATATAACTACAGGTGTGTATATGTGTGTGTGTGCATGTGTGTGTACGTGTGTGTGTGTGTGTGTGTGTGTGTGTGTGTGTGTTACTAATGATGAAATGTGAAATGCAGTTTTATACTTGTTTGTGGTTCTTTTTGTCCAGAGGCTATCTCTTATGGATATGCAAAATACTGTGACCTAAACTTATTTGAAATAATTCTTCTCTGTTTGGGTTATACCCACAACCTGATCTGATGTGGAGTTTATTTACTTTTATTTATTTTCATTTTTAGGGATTACTTTTATGTTTTTAAGCCAAATTTGTTTTTTTAAAATTATGTAAGACAGTTATATGATTTGAGAGTCAAAACCATCAAGCAAAGGACAGTCAGAGAGGCCTTGCTTTCATCCTGCTTCCCTCCAGTTCTCTCTCCTTCTACAGGCAGCGTTTTATTAGTTTATTCCTCTTATTTCTTTTTGAATATGCAAGTAAATATGTGTATTATGTATGTCATATATTTACATCCTACACATCAATATTTTATATTATATTAGTACTTCGCCTATCTTACCCCAGAGTTGGCACACTGTCCCCTCTGTTCCGCACTGGGACAGCATCAGAGACCTTGCTGGTTTCTTCACAGCCACACAGCACTCCATTGTGTATCACGGTCTCTTTGCTTGCCTAGGGGTGGCCATTGGGTTGTGTTGTTTCTTTTGCTATAATGACATTATATCTTGATCTGTGGAAGTCATTTTATAATAAATAGCCCATTTGCCTAATATACTTATTTCTTTTTAACAATTTAGTTTAATTGTCCAGCTTCCAGTTTGCCTGTCTCTTGGTAAAGAAGCTGATTCCAGACAGTGGAGGGAGACAGAGAGCTCGTGGATCTATTTGTCATATAATACTCAGTTCCCCAGCCCCAAGGCCAAGCATTTACCATCAGATTGTTATAAAGATCGAAAGAGAGAATCTTGCTGGAAGCACTTTTGAAAAATCTATATTGCTTTTGGGAATTCAAATCAAATTAGAGACTTTCCTTCAGGATGAGCCTGCGCCGTGATGGTAAAAGCAGGTGACTTCCGTTGGCCTTGCGCACCGAGCCTGCCACATGCAGCCCTACCCGCAATGCTTCAGTGGAGGTCCTTCTCTGTCCAGTGCAGGGTTGAAGAAACTGAGGGGTACAGAGCAGTTTTTACAAACTGTACACCCCAAACTCCATAATACGGTCTATAATGTATAGATTGAGCTGGTCCTCAGAAACTGCTTACATTTTAGAATTTTTATTTCATTAAAGTAAGACATATAGTACAGTAGTTAAGAGGATCTGTTTTGGAGGGAGACACATCTTGTTGAAATTCTTGTTCTTCCTCTTCATCTGTCCATCCATCCATCCATCCATCCATCCATCCATCCATCCATCGTGCACAAGTATTTTTAAAGCTTCTGCTATGAGCCTGGCACTGTGCATAATGAGAACACAGCGGGGTCCTGTCCTCTGTGGACCCCAGTAGGCTGCTGTGTTCCTGAACAAGTTCATGAACTTCTCTGAGGGTTACAGGTCATGAGGATTAAATGATGGAACGCGTGTGTGTGTTGGCACAGTGTTTGGGAAGAAGATACTAATGACAATGGCAGTGTCCACTTTATGAGACACCCGGGAAAAGGAATCTAAGGCGGAAGAGTGAAGCCAGGACTCAGGACGTGTGGACACTTTCATGGGAAAGAGTATCTGGGGGAAATGGATTTGAAGAGTAAGAAGAGAGAGAGCGTGGCTAACAGGAAGTGGGAAAATGAGAAGGCAGGAGACAATTATGTGAAGGCAGGGCTGAGAGATTATTTCCTCTGCACGGAAGGAGGCCTGGAGACTTAATGTAAATGATAAAGGTGTCATTGCTTTAAGAGTAACACGTTATACATGTGATTTCAGCCGAGTCAGTGTTGCATGAGAGTTAAATCTTTTTATCTCTGATTTACTTATTCTTCATTTATTTTTCAACCCCAAATATGTCTGTTTTTTACAACTCTTGGGTGGGGGGGGCATTTTAAGTGTTATAGTTTCATATATTTGAAGCATGGTGCAGTGAAATGTCAGGTGACCAAATCTCTCAGTTAAAGGGACTGTTTTTGTTTCACTCACCTTTGATGATGAATAGCATAGTCCTTGTGTCTGGGATTAGTTTTCCACGTGCGTACATGTGCACAGGCACAAATGCACAGAAAAATAAAGTCAAACATCCCTCCTAAGGGGTTTCCAGGCTCAGAGGACGGTCAGCCCGGTTTTCTCCAGATTTCTGCATCTACATTCATCGCCCCTGGATGATCGTAGATGTTCAGAATGGCC